TAGAGATATGGGTTACAATGTTGCTATGATGGCGGACTCGACGTCTCGATGGGCTGAAGCTTTGAGAGAAATTTCAGGAAGACTTGCGGAGATGCCAGCTGAGTCTGGATATCCAGCATATTTGGCTGCACGTTTGGCATCTTTCTATGAAAGAGCTGGTATGGTGGAATGTATAGGATCGCCAAAAAGAAATGGAAGTGTTTCCATTGTCGGTGCGGTTTCGCCACCAGGTGGTGATTTCTCTGATCCAGTTACCACTGCTACATTGAACATTGTCCAAGTCTTCTGGGGTCTTGATAAGAAGCTTGCACAGAGAAAGCACTTCCCATCAGTGAATTGGAACATCTCCTTCTCTAAATATATAAAGATTTTAGAGCAATACTACAACTCAAAAGACGACGAATTTGTCACTTTGAGAGATAAAGTGAAGGACATCTTGCAAATGGAAGATGGGTTGTTACAGATTGTTCAGTTGGTTGGTCAAGACTCATTGGCTGAGACAGACAAACTGACGCTGGAAATGGCTCGCGTCATTAAGGATGATTTCTTGCAACAAAACTCATACACTCCATACGATTTTTCTTGCCCATTCCCAAAGACTTGCTGGATGTTAAGAAACATCGTTCATTTCTATAATGAAGCATTCAGAGTCCTTTCTGTTGATTTCGAAGAGCATAAAATTACTTGGTCGACTATTAAGAGCTCGATGAACGACTTACTTGTAAGAATTTCACGTATGAAATATGAAGTGTGGATCAACAACGAAGAGACAGTATCCGAGAAATATAAAGAGCTCAATAAAGATATTACTAACAGATTCGCTACGCTCACCGAGTAAGTAAGATTTCGATTAAATTATGTTTTTTTTTGTATTATTAGAACATTATCTCAGTGATAATTAATATAAGAAAAAACCAACAATACAAGTATTAATGCAAAACATTTTAATAAAATTGAATTTATTATGTATAAAACTATTAAATGGTTTAGTGATTAGAATGACGACACTAAAAACCACAATTTAGTGATAAAAACCCGATCACAAATTATTGATTAAATTCTTTAGTATATTAAAAATATCTTTATTAAAGAAAAAGTTACTTCGACATGTGACTTAAATCGCTTTCAAAAAATCGAATTATATTGTACATAATAGTTTCTTTTTTTGATTGGTTGATTATCATTTTTGTTTACCAAAAACATTTAAAAAGTGATTATAAATATCAAAGTATTTTACAAAAACATTACAGTTACCTTATTATAAAATAAATAAACTCAAATTTAAACATTATGCCAAGAAGACAAACACATCAAACTGAGCCACATGGAATTGTTGAACAAGAAATAGAAGATGAAGAGGCGGAAACACAAGCTGTAATCCAAACTCCTGAAGCACGATCACTTTCAAGACAAGATTTTTTTACGAATATTTACTCGAACGTTATGGTGGATTTGAAAGTCTTTTTGAGTTTTTGAAACTTAAGCCACTTGTTTTCCTTGCATTACAACCAGTTGTTGGAAATATATATCTAGATAAAAGAGGACGCAAATCATTTTTCAACAACCCCAACGACAGACTTCTTTTGTTATACTTATTTAGTCGATATAACAATTTGAAAATGATAAGAGATATGTGTATCCCATATATCAGAACTAACGAACAAATAAGCAGAGAAATCGATTTAAATGCTTCTTTATTTAGAGTACCACTTCAAAATGCATGTATAGCATTCAGAAACGAAAATTTGTTAAATACTGGTGTAAGTTCAATTGATGATTGTACAGTGACACCAACAAGACGTCCAAATGGCGATTTTGCTTCAGCTATGGGTTTTATAGTGGAAAATACAAAATGTATTGTGTTAAAGTCGAAGTGATTGTGAATGCAGAAAGTGGCACTGCAAGTTTTGTTTCAAAAGCAGTTCAGGGTGCAGATCATGATATGACTATTTTAAAAAACACATCTGAAACAATCAATAATATGTTGGGAACAACAAAAATAATAGGTGATAAGGGATATAAAGGATTTGATTTATACATACCAACTGGTTCAGTTTCAAAAGAAAGTCCTTTAAAAGAGAAAAGGTGTTTGATTGAAAGATATTTTGGTCGACTTAAAATGGTGTTTAAATTTACAAGAGAAAAATATTTAAAAGACCTTGTTTCTTTTGACAACCTCTTTGTTATAAGTTGTTGCTTTTGCAATGAAGACATTGAAATTAATCCCCTTGAAAATCAAGATGCAACAAACTATATGAATATAATGACCAATTATTTAAATAAAATCGAAAAAAGAAGAGAAGCACATAAGAAAAGTAGTTTAATATACAGAAGACGACAAAGGGAACAATTTGATGTTTTAGAAAACGAACTTAGATTAATACAAGAAGAAGAAAGTCAAAATTCAGACGAAACAGAAATTGAACACTTTGATTAGAACAAATTTGTTTATTTGTTTTTAATAAAAATAAAAAATAATAATTTTTGTTTATATAATATGTTTGAAAAAGGCTAAACTTCTGGGCATAAAACGTGATCTCACTAGAGCACTAAAAAACAAACAAAAATCGATAAAGTCGAAGTTTTATCATTATGATTGGGACTTGTATTATATTTCCCGAAAATTGAGAATAACCACAACTAGATTACTTTTTAAACGATTTTAACATAAAAACTATAACATAATGATAAAAATCACATTTTATAATAGTAAACTATTATAAAAAATGATATTTAATCACAAAGACATTTCTTTGTTTTTTAACTTTACTAATTGTTATTGATAATAACAATGGACTTTTACTACAAATTAAAAACATAATTATAATGTTATTGACTAAAATAATGTTTATCAAATCACTGAGATAATGTTCTATTAAATAATTATTATCAAACAATAAGTTATTA